CTTCTGTCTCGGTGAATTTGCATCCCTAGAATCTTGTTTGCTGATCCCAAGTCCTTCATTTCAAATTCCCTAGCCAGTTGTGCCTTCAATTCTTCAATATGATCTTTGTTGGGTCATGCAACCAACATGTCATCCACATACAACAGCAATATAACAAAATCGTTATCACCAGACCTCTTAAAATAAGCACAAGGGTCTGCATTAAGTCTGTTGTATCCAAGGCACATAATGAAGGAATCAAATCTCTTATACCAACACCTCGACGCCTGCTTTAGACCGTACAGAGATTTGTTCAACCTGCAAACCAAGTTCTTCTTTTCTTTTTCTTCAAATCCTTCAGGCTGGAGCATGTAAATCTCTTTTTCAAGATTTCCATGAAGAAAAGCTGTTTTAACATCTAGTTGCTCTAGATGTAAGTTCAATGTAGCACACATTGCCAAAATTACTCGAACTGTTGTTAGTCGAACCACAGGAGAAAATATTTCATTGAAATCAATACCTTCTTTTTGAGCATATCCTTTGACCACCAATCTTGCACGATACCTCTCAACTTGATCGTCACCATTTCGCTTGATTTTGAAGACCCATTTGTTACCAATTGGCTTCCTTCCTTGTGGTAGTGGCACAAGGTCCCATGTATTATTTTTATGAAGGGCTTCGATTTCCTCTTGCATCGCCATCATCCATAGTGAAGCATCTGAGTTGTTTATTGCCTCTTGGTATGTTGATGGCTCACCGTCCTCTGTTAAAAGGCAGTATGCAATATTACCTTCTATAACATAATCTGAGTGCCAATTGGGACGTCTTCTCACACGATCTGATTGATGAGTTGTTGGAGTTTCAGAACTCTCTGGTTCTTGTTCATCATATGCTGGTTCTGCTTCAGAAGAATCTCCTTGTTCAACCTCCTTTTCCACATGTATATGTGTAGTCTCTGACTTTTCAGCGCTATCATCGTCTTCTTTTCTTTGTAGCTTATCTTCTACAAAGATAACATCCCTGCTAATGGCCACTTTGTGGGCAGTGGGATCCCACAAGCGATACCCATTGACTCCATCAGCATACCCCAAGAATTTGCATTTCCTGGATTTTGGATCCAGCTTTGAGATTTCTTGGGAGTTGTACATCACGTACACAATACTTCCAAATACATGGAGGTTTGAATAATCAGTTGGTTTACCAGTCCACATCTCCATTGGTGTCTTCAGCTCTATTGCAGTTGATGGAGCTCGATTCACCAAATAACAAGCGGTATTGACTGCTTCTGCCCAGAATGATTTTTCTAGGCCTGCATCCCTCAACATTGCTCGTGTTCTTTCTAACAAGGTTCTGTTCATCCGCTCTGCCACTCCATTTTGTTGAGGAGTGTTCGCCACTGTGAACTGTCTTTTGATGCCTTCTCTCTTGCAAAAGTCATCAAATTCTTCGCTTGTGTATTCTCCTCCATTATCTATTCTGAAACACTTGATCTTATTTCCAGAATCAAGTTCCACCCGCGCTTTGAAGTTTTTGAAAGTTGCAAACACATTTGACTTCTTCTTAATAGGGTACACCCAACATCTCCTGGAGTAGTCATCAATAAATGAGACAAAGTATTTTGCTCCGCTTAGGGATGTGACCGGTGCTTGCCATACGTCAGAGTGAACCAATTCTAGAACACTTTTGCCTCTAGAATTTGATGTGTTGAATTTCAACCGGTGTTGCTTACTTGTTATACAATGCTCACACAAAGGAAGTGATACACTTGTTAAGCTGGGAAGTAGCTTTTGCTCCACAAGGACTTTCATTCCTTGTTCTGACATGTGTCCAAGTTTCTTATGTCATAGCATTACAGAATCTGAACTACATGAGGCAACAGAGGCTTCTGCTTCTAGCAAAGTCTCTCCCTTCAGCATGTACAAGTTTGCAGCTATCTTTTCGCCTTTCAGCACCACAAGCGCTCCACGAAACACCTTCATGATTCCTTTTTGTGTTTCAATCTTGCTTGCATTATTATCCAACAATCCGTAGGATAATAAATTTTTCTTCAGGCCTTTCACGTGCCGCACATCTCGAACAACTTTAATTGTTCCATCATACATCTTCAATTTGATGGTTCCCACGCCAACGATATCTAAGACATGATCATTGCAACTATAAACAGATCCTCCTGAGACAGGTTCATAATGATGGAACCATTCTCTTCTTGAGGTCATGTGATATGTTGCTCCTAAATCAATGAGCCATATATCTGCAAATCGTTTTCTTCCTTCCACGGTGGTTGACGCTTCACAGCATAGAGCATCTCCATCATCTGAAGTGTTTGCGGTATTGCCTTGTGGATTGGAGTTTTTATTGAGACTCCAACAATCCTTCTTCAAGTGACCCTTCTTTCCACAGTGGTAGCACTTTAAATTCTTCTTGCTTCTCGACTTCGATCTACCATGTTTGTGACTGCTGCTTTGGCCACGTTCTGTTGATCTCCCTCTCATCGTTGTCAATGCTTCTGCTTGTTGCAGATTTACTTGTCCGTCTTCCTTGTTCTTGCGCCGATTTTATTCTTGTAGAACAGCAGCTGCAACGTCATCGAAGACTAGACTGGTGACATTATTGTTTGTCAAGTTGATGATGAGTTGATCATACGAATCCGGTAGACTTTGAAGTAGAAGTTCAGCACGTTCTTGTTCTCCTATTTTACAGCTTAAGGATGTAAGCTGAGAAAATAAGGTGATCAGTGTATTTAAGTGCTCTGTCACTGAAGTAGATTCTGGCATACGGAGAGTGTACAATTTCCTTTTAAGGAAAATTTTATTGTGCAACGATGTGGCCTCGTATAATTTGGTGAGATGATCTCATATCTTCTTAGCTGTCTTTTTCTCCTCGATGCTTGACAATACTTCATCTGCTAATGCTAGATGAAAGTTTTCCATAGCATTTCCGTCCATCTCGTTCCATTTGTTGTCATCTGCGAAATCCACCGGCCTTTCATTGATAGCCGCTAGACACCCGTCTTTCCTCATGATGGCCTTCATCTTCAATTTCCACAGTGAGAAATTTCTCCCATTGAATTTTTCAATATCAAATTTCGTTGTCATAGCTTCTATTACAGATAGCTCCCACTATTTCACTATCGTGAATAGTTCTCTGGAACCTTCAAAGAATGGGTAATACCTTCTTACTTTCTTATGTTGGAGGATCAACCTTTTGGTGGCAACCACAAAGACAATAAGCAGATATTACACACTCGAATCTAGCTCTGATACCAATTGTTGCGAAAGACGGCTATCAGATAGAGCAAAATTGCAACTGATAATATGAGAAAATAAAATTGAAGATAAAAGAGACACAAAATTTACGTGGAAAACCCCTAAAATATTTAGGGTAAAAACCACGGGCAACGGTAGAAGAATTTCACTATGAGAAAATAGGAATTACAACCTCTCTCGATCTACCAAGGAGAAAACAATGATAATTCTCTCTAGATAAAAAGGAGAAAACAACTCTCAAGAAACTCTCTAAAATCTCTCTAGTATTGGAAGAAAGCTAGAATGCTTTGGGATGATTTTGAAGCTAAATGAGCTAGGGTATTTATAGTTGAAAACTAAGGACTAATTTTTAAATACTCTAAAGTTTAATGACTAAATTATGATTTAGCTATTGTCCAAAAAATCAACAAAACGGCTCATTTTTTTCGGTGCATTTAATATGCACCTTTCGGTGCTTAGTCAACAATTGTTTCTGCCAGCTTACGATTTTGGCTCATATCTCGGCCCTGTTGCAGCAGAATTGGAGTCTTGATCTTCAACATGTTAATCCTGAAAGGAATAAAGTAGAGATTACCATAACTAAGGTTGCTCGACAACGAGATTTAGTAGTTATTTGGTTTTTGTAGCCTCCTGTAGTGTTTCGGTCTTTGTTGCAGGAGGAGGCTGCTACACTGCTTGTCTTGTAGAAGTTACAACTTTAGTGTGTTTTTTCCTTTATTTATCAAAAGAAAAAAAAACATATATATATATATATATATATATATATATATATATATTCTACACATAACTGTTTGAATATGAAATCTCTAAATAAAATAATATTTTTTATTACTAAAATCACTTGATGAATATATATAAAACTGAAGAGTTACACCATAATTAAATTTAAACACAATTATTAATATGAATAGCTTTACTGAATTTTAAATAATTTAAATATAAGTATTAAATTTTGATTTTGTATTTAATTAAAATAAAAAAAAAAAATTAAATTCGGGACAATACCATGATATGAAACTTTTGGTGTAAATGCATATTGATATTGACGTTGAAAATGTAATTTATTTTATTTTATTTTATGATTTTCTTCATTAAAAATATATTTTTCATATATTTTCAGTTCATCGAAACCATCATTATTCGGCTTCTTTTGCAACTACTCTAGATATTAGTGAATTCGTCTTATTGTACCATTCATCGGTTCTAATTTTTCAGTATCTATTTAAAACTCACGAAACTAATTAAATAAAATTCACTATTTTGGGGTTTTGAGTTGTTAATTCGAGATTTTAAATATTGAGAAGCATTATGTCAAGAAAACGAACAATATACTTCGAAATTAGTCTCATCATACGATCATTGGAGGAGATCGAAGCATTATAACGTTAATTCTTAGATGAATTTTTATCAAATTTGAGTGGATTTTTTGGATATGAAGAAAATAAATGAGAAATGTATGAATGCTTTGATATCGGTCTTACCACAAGTGACGATTCTTAGTAAAAATATTGTTACAAGACAAATACATTAGCATTGACTATAAAAACAATAATAATGATTAAACAAACATAACATAATAAATTTATTCTGTCGTGTAATTATTGCTTTAGAAACAATTTCATTCGGTACTTATGTAATCTTTGAACGTTATCCGTTAAGATTAATATGGTCTTCCGAATTTCACATACTATAAGTTGAATTACAAGAAAATAAGTCATTATAAGGATGCAAATTAAATCATACCCTCCTTTTAAACATTGCACAACTTGCAGTACATTACATTCCCCTATGTGTTGAGTTCTTAATCCCTATCATTACTTGACATGCCCACAGAAAACACAAATGACTTGGGAGGTACTTCAAGTAGCTCCACTTCACTTTCAAGCATCTTCAAAACTTTGCTCATTGAAGGACGATATACTGGCTTTGTCTGAATGCACCAAAAGGCAACAGTTACCATTTTCCTCACAGTTTTCTTTTCATTTTCCGTCATGTCTCCAAGCTCTATGTTCTCCCCTAACTCGAGTCGATCATAAATCCATGTAGGAAAATAGATTTGACTTGAATGATCAGCAAAAGCATTCAAATTTTTCCTCCTCCCCACCATTTCCATCAGCATCATCCCAAAGCTATAAACATCAGCTTTATACGAAACACCTCCAATGTTCTTGTAAAACAGTTCAGGAGCCATATATCCAATTGTACCTCGTGCTGCTGTGAGAGAAACAATACTGTCTTCTGTTGAATACAGCTTCGCAAGGCCAAAATCCGAAACTTTTGGATCAAAGTTGTCGTCCAAAAGAATGTTATGTGGCTTGATATCGAAGTGTAAGATCTGCATGGCACAACCGTTATGTAAATATTCAATACCTCGACCGATTCCAAGTGCAATCTCAAACATCTTTTCCCAGCTCAAACTGTTACTTTCTGGGGAAAATATCAATTTGTCTAATGATCCATTTGTCATGAAATCATAGACCAGAGCTTGTTTCTTTCCTTGCACGCAAAATCCAATGAGTTGCACAACATTCACATGGTGAATCCTTCCGATAGTTGCAACTTCATTGATGAAATCTTGACCTTTACCTTTCGATTCGTTTAATAATTTTACTGCAACGAGTTTTCCGCTTCGAAGTTCGCCTTTAAACACGGTTCCGAAACCTCCCTGACCTAATTTATTCTTGAAACCATCTGTTATTTTCTTGATTTGGGCATAAGAATACCTTATAGGGATGAAGTTCTTTTGGCTTTGAAGAAAGTTCTCAATCTCCTCGTCCATCGACAAATGCCTTCTTCTTAATTTGTGTATAAGGGCGATCAAGAAAAATATCCCTAAAATTATCCCTAAAAATATCCTTAAGGGCACGATCCCTGTTACAAAGGTAAGAAAATCAAGCGAAGCCATATTTTTCATTTATTAAGTTTCATTTGATAAAAGTACAGAACTAATGCGTACCGTATATTGCAGCATAAAAAAATGCTGTTGGAAGAAAGATACAAGAGAATTAGTGCTATGTTATCAAACGAATTAAAAATCTAAATTCAAGTAAAAATAATTTTAAATTATGAGACAAATGTGAAAAGTTAATTTTATGTAAAGATTAGATTATACCTTTTACGATAGAGTTTTGGGAGAAACTTAAAAATTTTAAAGTTTTAGATATTTAAATTAAAATTTTCAAAAATTTTAAAGAGTTCAGTTTACATGTTTAAAAAAAAAGAATTGGGGTCAAATTAAAAATTTTAAAAAATTGGGAGGCTTATTGAAATTTATTAAAAATTATGGGAGAGGTTTAATTAAGAACATTTAAAAACTTTAAAAATTAATTCAAATTTCTTAAAATTCTACTAGGGCCAAATTATTTATAATTTTTTTTAAGGGTTTAAAATTGAACTTTCCAAAATTTTAGGGGATCCACGTGTCCTCACTTAGTTCCGGCATTGATCAGATGGTTTACCACCTATACTTGAATAGTGTATTAAAATGTTAATAAATAAATATATTAGATTGAAAATTAATCTAAATGCTAATGCTTTAACACTATATTTTTGCAAAATTTCAATTCTATCTAGAAATTCTTCTGGTAAACAAAATAATAATAATAACGAATTTTTAGTGATATTAGTATTAACGAAATCTGTAAAACAATACCTCCAGCAACCAACATCAACAGGGACTTCAGTCTGGAGTATTGAACAAAACACATTAAAGAAATGGTTAAGTTCATCTGATTAGTTAAAAAAAGAAGAAGTAAAGAATACATTTCAAAACAAAGTAAAAAATTCTCACACGTTAACAACTGAGTTCCACTGCAGCCATGGATAACCTTCACGAATGTTGGGTGACCATCTGAGTTGGACGCCCATCATCAGTTTTTTGTAAATATCAAAAGTAGAGGCGTCACTGATGTTATGAAGATTGATCGGAACCCGGGCGTCAACCGTGCACGACGTATGTAAATCAGACGGCGCCGTTTTTCCATCCAAAAAATAATAAAAGAGATCATTAGTTGGTGGAGAGGAAGAACATCGAGAAGCATCGATGTAATTAACCCCTGACCAAGACTTTTTCATCTTCCTACTGCACTTAACCACATAAACCTCGCTATAATTGTAATATGCATAACTATCAATTTCTGGTTGACTTAATTTTCCATTGTAAGAATAACGCAACGGAAGGGAACCGTGAGGAAGAGAGCAGTAATGGTTGTACAGATTCACATCTACAAGATGAATAGTATACTTAACGTAAGAGATGTGTTGAACATAGAAATTCCCTTGTTCCCCAGAGAGAATTGTTCGGTTGTTGTCGCACACCAGCTCAAATACCTTGAGACCACAGCTATGGTGGTGGGATTTTAATCGAAAAGGGTGACTGATGTTAAGGTTTCCACACAGAGTAAAGCGGTTACAGTGCTTGCCTATGGTTCTGACGGTGCAAGCATGAGGAAGGAAAGACAAAGCTAGGGCCAGCAGGTGCACGAGGAGCCAAAAGAAGGGCTGTTTTGGTGTTGTCATCCTTAGGTACTTTCAGGGGGAGGGAAGGAGATTAAGCTGAGGCTAACAAGTGAAGAGTTCAATTTCTTCATCTTACCATTTCTGCAATTTCTCACTTTTTAAAACTAAAAAACTCAGTCAACTAATTAAAACCAAAGTACCAAACCATAAAACAATTCAACACAAAGTCATTATCACTCTAGCTGTGCTATAACCTCATCCGCGTTGTAATGACAGAAAGTATATTCTCCGTGAAAATGCATAGAATGTTCGATAAATTATGTGTAAATTATTTATATAATATTTGTTTATGTTCGTTTATTAAATTAAATAAACGAGTATAAATAATATTTTATGTTCATTTAATAAACAAACGCGCGATTAGTTTATGTTCACAAACAAACTCGTTTGTTGGCTCATATATCTACTTATTTATAAGCTCGTTTATATGGTTTTCATTTTCATTTTATTTTTTTACATTTAAAATATTAATGAAGGTAGTAGCTAAATTAAACACATGATAAATTTTAGAATTCAAACTTTGAAGCCTAAGGAGCTTAAGGGCCAATGGCATAATTTTATCACTGTGTTCGCGAAAATATGTCTACAAACACTAAACGAACATGTTGACAAACATATAAATGAATATGTTTGTGAACATTAAGTGAATCGAATATGAACACCTTCCAAAAATAAATGAATGAATACAAATACGAGCATGATACTAAAAATTTAAACAAACACAAATCGTATATTAACACCTTAAACAAATGAACACAAATATAACTTTATTAATTCAAACCTGAATCATTTACAACCCTAATCTCAACTACCCCAGTTTAGAAATGTTTTGGAAATTTGATGCTATCATTTAAATAAGAGCAAACCTTATAATAAGTGTTTGCAATTTCTTGTAAATTCAGAAGACACTGTAGTTTATGTTATATCCTGTGACTTATATTTTTGATCCAATCAGAAGAAAAAAAGTTTGGCAGAAAATCTGATGAAAGACTTGACTTTTTTGTAACCATGTTCACTTAATTAATAATTATTGATAATGAAAATCTTGGCCTTCTGTCTCTCTCTGGAGAGACAGAACTCTAAAAATAAAAATGCATGTTTTTAAATTGCACTTTGAATGATTCTTGGTCTGCCTCATAGATAATGCAGTCTAAATTGAAAGTATTTTACACCTTCCTCATCATTTAAATGAAGTAAAACCATTTAAAACTCTTGTATTTTTTTCTGTCATAATATAAAATGCTTGTAGTCTATGTCATCATTGATGAAGACTTCCAAAGTTCTGTTAAACACAAAAGTATTGCATTTATAGTCAATGCATGAATTTAGAATGGTCAATCAAATAGGATGTCTATTTGACACGGTTTGCACTGTTTTTTAAAAGTACGTGTATGGTTTTTAATAGTGATATAAGGTATTCAGAAGCAGTACTTAGTCGTAGAGTTTAGAGAGCTTAATTTAAACTTTTAAAAATTTAGAGGTTAAATTTAAGAATTTTAAAGACTTCCGTTTATATTTTTTTCAAAAAAAGTTGAGGTCTAATTAAAATTTTTAAAATTTTGAGAGACTTAATGAGAATCTTTTAAAAATTATGGGAGGGGTTTAATTAAGAATGTTCAATAAGTTTAAGGATTAATATGAATTTTTTAAAAATTTGAGGACCAAAGTAAATATTTTAAAAATTAAAAAGATCTAAATTATAATTTTTCAAATTTCGGAGGGTAGTGCCTGCACTAACCCCTCCGCCTTTGAAGATAATATTTAAATCTTCTTAATTATTGATAATACATAAATATCATACAGATGTAATTATTCAAATAATTTTTTTTAAGAAAAATAATATTTTTTAACTATTAAATTCGTTTAATTATTTTTTAGAATAAAAAGTAAGATAGGATAAAAAAAATCAGGTCAAGAGTGTTTTCCCCATCTTTAGATGGAATTTGCAGGCCCAATCTATTTCTTCTTGCCTCGCCTTGTGTTTAATTTTCATGGTATTTTTATGCTTGTATTTTAAAAGCTCAAACCATATAACCGTAAAGCCCAAATCTATCCATACATGGTCCAAGCTGGATAGCCAAGGAATTACTGATTAGTGATTACGGATTACTGAGCAGCAAAAACCGAAAAATAAATGGTAGTAAAAGCTAGGGACATGAAAGCCATCTTATCCAGTCTGTAGTAGTTGATAAAAGCAGCAAAGGGTGAACCAGTACTAGTGTAAAACCAAAGAAATGGCGATCCTTTGTTCTTCAACCTCAGCCATTTTCTCTTCTTCTTCAGAGAGAACTTCATTTGCTTCTTTGAAAAAGAATATTCCTAGTAACCAAAGCTCATTTCTTGGGTTCTTCCCAGTTCTGGTATTGTCAAAACCTTCTGTTGTTCGGACGACAACAACGCTATCTTTCTCTAAACGGGATTTCCGGGTTCGTTGTCAGGACCTCTCTCTTGTCCCTGAAAACCAACGTTGGATGTTCGAGGAATCCGAGGCTGATGGCCCTGTAAAGACTCTCTTTTTCTCTCCTTTTTTCTTCTTCTTTCTTTGTTAAAGTTATTTTTTTCTGGGTTTTGAGTGGAAGGTTAGTTAATGCAATTATGACTTTGAATTTATTATTCATAGGGTTCTTTTGGTTAAACCCAATTTTATTTCAAGCTTTTTGTCCATTTTTGTCTGAAAATTTTGAATTGTTGTTGATTTGAACCTTGAGCAACACTTGTTAAAAGTTTCAGCTTTGAAACTTAGTCATTAGATTCTTCCTGGGATTGCAAAATTGGGCATTTCTAGCTTCCTTTGAATGAAAATTACTGATGATTATCTGTAAGTGGAATTTCTGCTCTAAAGGTGTGCATAATTTCTCTTTAGTTACATCTTACACAATTATTAACTGTGGATCTGCATTCACTTTCGAACTCTTATTATCATGTGCTTTTTACTTCTCACTGTATTCTGTGATGACATTTCTGCTTTTCTCCCCGCATGCTTGCTTAATTTGGATCACGTTCTTTATGTTTGCAGGACATTTGGAACAACACATGGTATCCGAAAGCTAAAGATCACGTGAATACCGAAAAACCATGGTATGTTGTAGATGCATCAGATAAAATTCTGGGAAGACTTGCATCGACAATAGCTGTTCATATTCGTGGAAAGAATTTGGTCACTTATACTCCTAGTGTGGATATGGGAGCCTTTGTGATAGTGGTATGCGGTTTTGTGTTGTTCACTGTCTTGTTAAATTAGGAGTTGTTTTCTTTCTAAGAACTCGTTTATGCTGTTTGTTGCTAAACCAGGGTTGAAAAGAGGTTTGGCTATGGCCAAATTGTTGACTGCTATGTGCAATTTACATTATTCAATTGCTCTCTAAAAGGCTTGGTTTTCTTTATTTTGGATATGATTTGTTCTGGTGTGCAAAAATAAAGCTTTTTGGACGGATCACCTTTAACTAATCAGTTAAGCATGTCTATGGATGTTGATTTGAGCTTTTGATGCTGCGCTTGTTTACATTTTCTCTTCTAGAAACCTGTAACTATCAGTATGGATCTGGTTTCGTATATATTCTGCTAAAGATATTGTGGCTTAAAGGATTATGATTCGCCTTATAGTGATTTGGCATTTAGTGGAGGGAGCTTTATTTATACCTTCTGGTTTCGTCCAGTATGTTTATTTTATGTTTTAGAAATACTAAAAGTTTGTGGTGTGCTTTGACTCCATAGGTGAATGCTGAAAAAGTTGCTGTATCCGGAAAGAAAAGGACACAAAAGCTCTACAGGAGGCATTCAGGAAGACCAGGTGGCATGAAAGTGGAAACATTCAACCAGCTGCAGCAGAGAATTCCCGAGAGAATTATTGAGCATGCTGTCCGTGGTATGCTTCCTAAAGGAAGGGTAAGTTCACTGTTTCTCATCCGAGACTATATGTAGATATTTGTTACCAGAACTTGGGTTGAGTGTCGGATATGAGTATGTAGCTAGTACATGTCTGCTCAGTTTCTCTAAGTTCTTATAAAGTATATTTGAAGGAGCGTACACACCTATATATGAATGTGCCAGACATAGATGTAGGGCACGGAAACTTTAGAGAATGTGAAGAATCCGACACATACATATCAGTTTGTATGAATTCATATGTGGACATAAAATTTTCCATCCCATATACCTATACTTTAGGTTCTAAATGAAGGATAATAAATCCTCATATGCCTTCGGAATTTGTCTTATTGCTGATCAATCTGAAATGTCTTGGCTATTCGTATCATTGTGTGCTTAGCTTTTCTTGCACGTCTGATGCTCATACTACTGCTACCTGCTAAGCTGTCCATGCTGTTTAAACTTGTTAAGAGTTTTCCAAATGACTTGGGTTGGGGAATTATGTTTTCACCGATTATATCAAGATTATCAACTGCTCAATGCTAAGCTTTCCAAACTGTTTAAACTTGTTAAGAATTTTCGAAATATGACTCGGGTGGGGGTATTATGTTTTCACCAACTATATCAAGGTTATCAGCTGTTGCATTGAATCCATTGTTTCTTTTGTATACTTTGTGCACGATGTTTATCGAGTATCGCCTAGCTCTTAACTAACATTTGCCTTCCTCAGCTTGGTAGAGCATTGTTTAACCACCTAAAGGTTTACAAGGGCCCAGACCATCCTCATGAAGCCCAGAAGCCTATCGAGCTGCCAATACGGGACAAGAGGGTACAGAAGCAGAGATAAACAAAGATAAAGCAGGGTCTGGCTTGAGAGAGTGTAGGCAATGATGCTTCCCTCATTACTGGCCATTTTCTCATGTTTTTGGTCCCTCTGGCTATAAATTTCTCTCTTTGGCTCCCGCTATGCGAATGCGACAGCATGCTGCTCCCGTTTATATTTTGATTATAGAGGTATTTGAAATGAATCTTACTCTTCTTGAGCTGAGTTGAATGCTAGACTCTGATGAATATGTTTCAATTTCCTTAAAATGTAGTTTAAATCGGATCTGTTGTCCTTGAACCAAGTTTGATTCGTTAATCAAGTATTCATCATTTATCCATGGGATTGAACCAAGTTCAAATCTTTTAATCGGTTGTTCACCGTAGTGGTGGCTAGCAACCGGACTGATTGCAGGTGTGTCCGGTTGCAGGTGTTGGCGTGTTGTAGAAAAAAGAAAAGAATTCCTTTTATTGGAATCTAAAGTTTTATTTACTTACAATTATAAACAGCCAATGTGGCTGTTATGAGTTGATAAATTATCTCCCAACAATATATGGGAAAAGAATATCTTACTGAACCAAAGCTGCATATAATAGTTGATTCCAAGTATCAGGCACACCTGCAAGACACCAATGGCTGCAATCGACAAACTTGGGGCCTCCGCCGGCATAAATGGAAAGGATGACCATCTTTCCGTAACTGTGTTAGCAAAGTAATGTCAAGTAAGTGGACAGGTTTAATCATTTTACTCAAAACAGTCTTTAGGATAGCTTCCCCAGGCACAGGAGGTCCAGGGTATGTTGACCCTTTCAGACTTCAGTGGCTCTGTTTCTTTACTGCAATCTTTGTGTGTTGGTTCTCCCCATTCCTTGGCACTGTTAAACAAAGCAAAATGAAAGAAACTTAGTTGAAAAATCATGGGGTAATTCTTGAGAAGGGATGAGAAGTTTCTAGAAGTTACTTGATATGAACTGCTGCAACTCCTTGGAAGAAGACACTGGTCTTGGAAGGATCAATGTTGTTATCAACCCAATATGCCCAAGTTGTCATTGCAATCTGGTATGATTCCATGTGATCCATCTCTTTCACTGTCTTGTTTCCATATTGGAAGTAGTCCCACCTGCAAAACAAATTCTTCATTTTTTTTCATTTATAATTCAATCATTTCAAGTTCAGATCAATTCGATTCCTTTAACAAGAATTCAACAGAAAAGGAAGTACAATTGCAGGCGTCCTGAGTGAGTCCACCAGTGATAGCTATTGAAGATCAAGACATCGACACCCAGCCACATTTTTCCGGTACTGATCGAATCAAGCTTCAAAACTTTACAAATCTTTTCGTATGCCACATCTGTCAGGAACCCATTTTTAAGCCAGTTAACTGAAATCCCATAGTCCTGCAATATATGTATGTATGTGTGTATATATATATATATATATTTTTGAACAGACAAGAATCAGTTGGAGCATGCAAGTGAGAGTTGGAGATACCAGCAATGAAAACGTTGAGAGATGCCCTTTTGAGCTAAATGTGTAGCTTGATTTGGGGACTGCAGAATGTAGCATGCAAATCAATGATTTCCACATATTGTTGCTTAATGAATCCCCCACGAAAAGTATCTTCTTCTTCCTATATTTCTCCAGAAAATCGATTCCACTGAACCTAGGACCATAATTCAAGAGAAGACCGCTAAATTTTATCAAACTGATACAAAATATCATTAAATTTTTAAACTTTTATATTTATTATAACATTATGATGATCATTTTATAACAATTCAATAAATTTCATGATAATTTTATAAACTTTAAAAGTTCTACGACTAAAACAATCATTTAAGTATAATTCAATTACTTCTAATATACTTTACCTTAATACAAATCAGAGTGTCTTCAAATCTTGATCGAGTCTATGCTTTCTCATCATTAATAATCATGTATAATCTGAGTTTTTTTTTCATCTTTAGTTGGAAGGAGTATTTTCAAGAAAAATTACTTCAATATTTTAACCGAGATAGTTAAGGTATTAACTATTTGGATTAATTTGATAGTTTTATAAAAATAGAGAATCAAATTATGATATATTAAAGTATGATGACTAAGTATCAAGTTTGAATAAAATAGAGGCACCATAACCATAGTTGGACCAAAATAATCATTTTATCATAGTCCAGTTACTTTACCCTTCATATTATTACCAAAACAAGGGAGAAAAAAAGTGAAGGAATAATAAGAAAGCTTTACCTGTGGAGTTCACAGCCATTAGGCTGCCATCTATACTTGAGGTAATTCCGGTCAAGCCTGCCATAATAAACAGAAGGATGGCCGTCTTTCCTCGGCTGTGAAAGCGTTGCTATATCCAGCAAAGTCACCGGCTTCACCATGCTTTTCAGCTGTGAGGTAATTCCGGTCAAGCCTGCCATTTTTCTGGCAGTCGAAGCCGCCTCCGATGAACGGACAACTCGAAGAATCATAATGAGGCTCAAAGGAATCATCAAAAGCCCAACTCCCTCGAAAAAGATCACAGTTTTCACTTCCTTTGTCTCCACTTCACGGCCTGTGTTGAAGTTGTGAACATCTCCATGAACTAAAACTATGAGTGCAGAAAGAGAAAACGTTACAAACAAATCACTCAATTAATAGACTGTAATAATCAACTCATATGTCACTACATCGACCACCGTCAACTATTTTATGCAATAATTGATCAATTTGATCTTGTTTAATTCATCATATTAAATTTTTGATAACATCTCTCAAGATCTATGAAATTACCATACAAAAAAAAAATTAGAAGGAAATTTTGTATGACTCATAAAATTGACACGTAAAAAAACAAAACATTAATAAGAGCCTCGTTAAAAGAACTTTCTAAATTTAGATGGAAAAAAAAGAGTTCACCATATCAATATCAATACATAAGCGAATCTTTCACAAAACAACACACACATAAAGCTGACAAGGCAACTCAATCAAACAACAATTTGGGTACAACAGATTTGACCACCAAAATTCTAGTTTCTAACCAATATAACACCAGACTTGGGGCCAAAAACCACTACGCGAACCAACCTGCAACACCAACATTCTCAAAGCATTACACTTGCCAAGAATGCCAATTTAGCCTTCAATTTGTGCCTATGCAAATGTAACCACATCCTCACCAACACGCCAACAGAAGCAGCCCCGACTCAACGCCATCATGCACAATCTCCACGAAAAAGAAAACAATAGATCCCTACCCCAAAGGCAAACAAATCACAAAGGCTCAACTCCAACAATTCACACAGAAAACCAGACTCAAACTCTTGTCTCTCAAGCTCTTTTCACCATTAAACTTCTTATTTTGCTTCTTGGTGCTTCATATAAATTAAACCCCACTGCTCCAACAACTTTCAACCTACAAAACAACTATAGCTACACAACAGCAAAATCGAAATGGACACCATTTTTTTCACAAAGGAGGATTAACGATCGAAACTACTGTAGGATCCAAAGACCATTCACAAAATCAGTAGCAGAACGAAAGCGAATATGCCACTTGCTTTTACCCCATATTCCAATTCTCTGCATGGCCTGATCAAATAATCGATTCTCGCAGCAGATTCTTTTATTGAAGATAATGTCATTGCGAAAAAGCCATATAGACCAGACTAAAAAAAAAAAAAAAAAAGCCAAGATCCAAAAAGATTTGAGATCCTTCTTGATCGGTTGATTATTCCGTACCATGAGGAGGCTTTTGACGTTAACCGGAATAACGAAAGCGATCTTCCAAAGGGCACACCATCTTGTCCATAACCTCCACACCACCTTGCATTGGCGAAACAAATGCTCTGGAGTTTCAATCTCTTCATGACACAACCCACAAAAACAAGATTCTAGATTTGATACACCTCTTTTCGATAGCTCCGATAAAGTAGGAGATATTCTTAGGAGATGTTCTTTCTTTCACCAACGGCATCTCCCCATTGTTCAAATTGTCAAATGAAATTTCCAATCTTTAAAAACGTCAAAACCCGAAATGAATTTCTTTTTTACAATTTAATCGATTCGTTCGTGACTTTTTAAAATTAAAAAATATCTGTATAATCTTAGAAATAATTAGATGACACGTTTATAATCCTACAAAGTTAAAAAAATTGAAAATTTAAATCAGCATCCCTAGCTTTCTAGGAAATTGAGAGCAGTGGAAAGAGGATTTCGTTCCAAGGGTCAGGAGGTCCAGCAAGACACCAATGGCTACAATCGTTTCCACTCGCTCCATAATAAACAGAAGGATGGCCGTCTTTCCTCAGCTGTGAAAGCGTTGTTATATCCAGCAAAGTGACCGGCTTCACCATGCTTTTCAGCAATTGCTTCACTATCCCCACCGCCGGCGGCAATCCTCCAGGATATGTGGTTCCATTCAATGGTGTTGTTTCGTTTTTACAGGTTGTTGAAACCGAACGATTCCATTCCCTGCCACTGTCAAAGTTCAAACTACGGTTAAAACCGAACGCTTTTATCTTACGAGACGCACTTATCTAGATAATTTTTAAAAGGCTTAATACTCAAATAAGTGCCCAAACTTACACTTTTTACTCAAATTGGTGACTATAAAGTATTTTTTGGCCCATTCAGCTGCCTAACGTTACAAACGTGACCACTTTAGGTGCTCGAGACGTAACGGCCGTTAGTTTTTTTCTTTAAGTGACACGTATCACAATCTGATAATTTTGAAATTTATTTTTTTAAAAAATTAAATCATATTATTATAATTATAAAAAAAACCTAATTTCAATTACAAAAAACCTCAAAACCCATAAAATCTTCAAATCCTAACACTAACCTTCGTCCCCACCCTTTCTGGCCACCGCCGACGACAACGACGTAGCCCATGCCATCATCCTAGTTATACGCCATCGTAGTTGTCGTCGATTGACCGTCAGAATTGCTTAGGATCGCGATTTTCATCCTAGGGTTCGTGGGGTATAAAATGTCGATTCGTCGTCGATCGATCATGATTTCACAATGGTTTTGGTCGTCGGGGGAGATGAGGTATAGTGGAGCTTTGTCGACGGCAAAGGGCGGCGGTCGACGTGGGTTTAAAAAAAATATAATTTTTTTTAATTTTATATAAAAATTTAAAATTATCATATTGTAATAAAGGCTTAATACCCAAATAAGTGCCCAAACTATACTTTTTTCCCAAATAGATGCCTACAATATTTTTTGGCTCATCCAGGTGCCTAATGTTACAAACGTTACACCACTTTAGGTGCCCAGACAGTCAACAACGTTAATTTCTTCCGTTAAATGACACGTTTCACAATCTGATAATTTTAAAGTTTTATAAAAAATTAAAAAATAAAATTATA